GGGAAATAGAAAAAGGAGTCCATTCCTTTTCCTATAAGTCTTTCCTGCCACCTCTACCTGAGAGATCCAAACTGTGATTGCTATTTTTCAGTTGCTGGAACTCTGTATTTTTAAGGGACTGATGATACATTGAAACTTATTTTGCAGCTTGTTCTACAAGACTGGTGTCAGTCTTCCTGTGGCTGTTGCTTCTTTGCAAATTGGAAAATTATCAATGTATTTTTCTATTCTGCCTTGTGGGTTGCAAGACTGAAATTATGCAGATTCAAATGGGAATTTATTCAGGGATTAAATGCAAATATTCTTGGAGAAGCAGGTGAAGAGTGCAAGGGCAAGAAGAAAAATATACTCCACCACCCTGGTACTTATGATTAAAAGTAAAAATAAACCATTCAACAATGAAGAGATCCTCTCTGCAGTGCAATTTTGTAATCGCTGGCTTAACGAAAGTGGAAACATCATCCTGATTAAGCAGTGTTTAAGAAGGGTAGCAAATGTGTGATTAGTATGAATTCCACCAGTCAGAATACATTATGCAAATTAAGGGAATACACTAGTGTTGTTCATTTCTAACCTTTGGGTTTTCTTTTTAATAAAGTGACATTTACTCATCAAGCACCTCCCTACTGTTTCCCACATGACAGTATCTATTTGTATTATTCTTTGCTTTCCATCACAGTGGTTGATCCTAAGCTGATACTGCACTGTGAGTCCAGACTGGATAAAAAATTTAAACCAATGCTTAGATATGGAGATGAGGACCACCACCCAGAGCCAGAGATGAGCACCACTTCTCAAAGCCGGAAAAGGAAGCCTTTATCTTTATCTGTGTTTCGTTGTTTGTAGGCATTGAATTTTTTGTTTGTTAGAATCTGCCCTGAGTCCTCTCCGGGAGATAGGGTGGAATACAAATAAAGTATTACTATTACTACTATTACTACTACTAAAATTTAAATATCTATTAAGTTTATAGACCCAAAGGTGATGTTAGTTGGCATTGGGAGATGTTTGCAGATGTAGCAGAGACAGTCTTCACTGTTAGGGTTAGGAGTTGTGTAGCACTTCAGGTATTTTTGAACAGCATTTCTATTGGGCTATGTTGATTGAAGTTGCTAGCATTTGGTGGGCTACACTATTCCCACCTCTGATCTGGAAGACTCATCATTGCACATTTCCCACAAGTGCTGTAGTAGTAGGATCCATTGTGTACATATATCATTATGTTTCTTGTTTCCTTTCCTACTATATTCTAAATTTTGTGTCAAATTTTTAGGGCAGTATTTTGCTGCCAGCATAATACACTTTTAGCAGAAATGTAATGCCTTATATACTCTGTAAGTTGAGGACAGATTTGGGAGTCAAAACTATTGATTTTGATATGAGACATGGATAACTAATGGGTAAAACCTAGGAACTTGTAACAAAAGATGTAAATAAGTCAACTCAAGATTTTTGGGATGTTGTTTTGACTAAAATTGATTGATTGATTGATTGATAGATAGATAGATAGATAGATAGATAGATAGATAGAGATGTGTATAACATACTCTCTCTCTCACACACATGTATACATCTAGTTGACCCCAGATGACTAATGAGGATGACCTCACTGTCCTTTAAAAGAGTAGTGAGGGAGAAGGGGGATTACCATGCTCTCAGATGATCAGCTTGCAATTTTTTTCGTGTCAGAAGTGACTTGAGAAACAGTAAGTTGCTTCTGGTGTGAGAGAACTGGCCATCTACAAGGATGTTGTCCAGGGGACGCCCCATCAACTTGCAATGATATCTATTAACAGTAGTTCCACCCTTTTCTCCTTAGCAAGATAGAAGAAGAAAGACACAGAATGGTGTACATTGAAGGCAACAGCTTTTGGGCCCCTGTAAAGTGCCATGTTTGAGGAATAACAAATGTACACTTAAAACATTTTCTGAATCATTCTTAAATTCTGCATGAGTCCTGGTTCTTTTGTTTCATTGTAGAAACAGTAGAAATTGAGGATAAGCTTGCTGTTGATAATGATCAAAGTTTCCATCAGTTAATACAGTGAAGTAACAAAATCTAAATCCAAGAGTTTTTTGTGATTTGATCATTGGAAAGTGGTACAAAGGGAATGGGAATTGTTTAAAAATGGGGGTAAATTGCAGGCCAGATGACAATTACGGTATTAATTCATAATGGAACCCTAGAGAATGCTGATGTCTCCAATTATTTGTTTTCTCTCAGTGTTTTTTTATTGTTTATGTTGCATATTTAAATTCCTCTTTCTAAACTTCTATCAACATAATGGGAATCATTTATTCTTATTATTGTCTATAATGCTGTGGTGATTGTAATCATTTTCTTTAGAAACTGGGCTATTAAGAGGTTGAGCAGAATGCCAACTAAGAATTGCAGCTGAGCTGACCTTTACTCCTTACTAGTGTGAATGTAGCTTGTATTCAAGCCTAGTCTTAGTTTCCACTCTCCTGGTTTCTAAATCTGGTAAACAAACCTAATATGAAAGTTTTTACTTAAAATATAAGCAGAAATATTTTTCAGTTCCATAGGTTGAACTGAAACTCCCTGGTATCAGGAAATGATAGTTTTAATGACCACACCATTAGGAGTTGCATTTTTTAGGAGATACAGATGTGGCTTTGCATCTTCTGTTATTTTAGTACCATCTTCACCAGTATCTTGGAGCTGGATGGTTCTATGATGAGTTGGGAGACCTACACCCCAGAATTCATTCTTTTTTGTAAAATAGCCATGGAGCCTGCAGCTTAAGGCTGAAAATACAATTCAACTTTACAAATGGATTCCATCCAAATTGAATGGCAGCATTGGAAAGGGACCTCCAATGTGTAAAAGTGCAATACTTAATACATGTTTATTAAAAAAGATATGGGTCCCCAACTACCTATTTGAATCTGAGTTAACATAACACAACTACACCAGCTCATTGAAAAAGTGTGGGTGACCAAGAAAATCCCAGCAGACTTAAAGGTTGCCACCTTCATCACTCTTTTCAATAAAGGAGAAAGAACAGACTGCAGAAACTATTGAGGTATCTCCTTCCTAACTTCCACTGGGAAAACCCTCACAAGAATCCTTGCAAACTGCCTTCTCCCTGTCTCAGAAAACACCCTCCCAGAATCCCAGAACGGCTTCCGCTCCTCCAGAGGATCAGTTGACATGATCTACACTGCTCGACAGCTCCAAGAAAAATGCAGGGAACAAAATCAACTTCTGTACATGGCATTCCTTGACCTTGCAAAGGCATTCGACACAGTGAATCGCAGTGCTTTCTGGACTATCCAAAAAATCGGGTGCATGGAAATATCACCCTATGGCTCTTCCATAATGATATGATGTCAACAGTCTTGGACAGCAATGGCTCCCAAAGTGCCCAATTTAAAGTGGAATCAGGTGTCAAACAGGGATACTTCATCTTGTTGATGGGAAGCTTCCCACTGGAGTAGAAATTATCTATAGGACAGATGGCAAGTTATTTAACCTCAGCAGACTGAAAGCCAAAACCAAGGTCACAACAACATCTGTTATAGAACTCCAATGTGCTGATGATAACGTAGTCTGTGTGCATTCAGAAGAAGACCTACAAGCCACTCAAATATCTTTGCAGAAGCATACAAAGAAGCTCAACCTGTCATTAAATATCGAGAAAACTAAAGTGTTCTTCCAGCAGGCACTGGCCAATCTGTCTGCAATGCCAGAAATACAGCTTAATGGTGTAACATTAGAAAATGTTGACCATTTCTGTTATCTTGGCAGCCCTCTCTCCACAAAAGTCAATATTGACACTGAAATATAACACCATCTGAGCTTTATGAGTGCAGCATTGTTCCGAATGAAGCAGAGGACCAGGACATCCATAGGGATACCAAGGTGCTTGTTTAAAAAGCTATTGTTCTCCCAACCCTGCTATGTACCTGCAAAATATGGACTGTCTACAGACGTCACATGCAACTCCTGGAGCGATTCCATCAGCGTTGCTTCCAAAAAGTCCTGCAAATCTCTTGGGAAGACAGGCGGACAAACGCCAGTGTGCTGGAAAAAGCAAAGACCACCAGCATTGAAGTGATGCTCCTACGTCACCAGCTCCGCTGGACTGGCCATGTTGTCAGAATGCCTGGACAAGAATGGGAAATGTAATGTTGGTGGACAGGAAAAGAAATTTAGAGATGGGCTTAAAGCCATCCTTAAAAATTATGGTATAGACACTGAGAACTGGGAAGCTCTAGTTCTCAAGTGCTCTAACTGGAGGTCAGCTGTGTCTAGCAGTACTGCAGAATTCAAAGAGGCATGAATAGAGGGCAAAAGGAAGAAATGTGCCAAGAAGAAGGCGTGTCAAGCCAACCCTGACCGGGACCGCCTTCCACCTGGAAAACAATATCCCAATTGCAGGAGAACATACTGACCAAGAATAGGGCTCCACACAGCTACCTACGGACCCACCACCAAGACACTACACTTGGAGGAAAATCATCCTTGGACTACGACGGATCACTTAAGTAAGTAAGTAAGTAAGTAAGCAAGCAAGCAAGCAAGCAAGCAAGCAAGCAAGTAATTTGGATTAAAGGCAGGTTCCAGATCAATTGTAACACATGGATGTGTGGTGAGCATGCTGACTTCTGGGAGTTGAAGTCCAAAATAGCTGGAGGACCAAAGTTTGGGAACCACTGCTGTAGAGCATGTTTCAACAGGCAGCAATACATTTACAGCCTCTAAAAAACCTAAACATGAGTCTGTGTCTACCAAGTCCATCAGCCTCCCGCGTAATAGAGCTTTTAAAATCTTGACAACTGAGAAAACAATTGAAACCTGTCATTCAGGTAAAGTGATTGAGAAATTGCATTAAAATTCATTTAGCTTGAACCTAATGAAATAACTTGTGAGCTGGATTGTTCTTGACCAAATCAGCACAGAATTGAGTCATTCTACATTAAGATGAAGGAGAGGGGGGAAAAGGATATTTATTTGTTTGTTTTTTCTGTTCCAGGGTATCAGTGAGCCTCCATACACAGCACTGGCACTGAGCTGTGATTCGAGGGTACTGAAGGAGAAATACGAGCAGCAGTCTTCCAGTCCTCAGGAGTATGAAAATGAACTGACCATCCGGATAGGTAGAGCTGCACTGCATTCAGGCAAGCATCCTGTCATATACCATCCACAAAGAGGCACAATTTGATATATTTAGCCCATAGAGTATAATGTTTTTTAAAGTGCATACACATATGCATGTGAATGCAGTTTTTCAAAAAAATATTTTTCTTTGTTCTCAGGAAACTTGGCTGAGATCAAGGTTGCTGTTTCTTTCTTGTGTTTTTCTCCAAACTGCTTCCATCAGGTTTAATATTTCCATACCATACGACTATTAATATCACTAATTCACCTTGAGTTTAAAAGTGACATGCAATTGGTAAGCTCCACCAACCACAATTCCCCTGTCTTCCCAGCATTAAAAGCCTTAACATTAAGTAAGTTGTCCACCCCAAGTTTCGTGAAGATATTTCCAGAACTGGAAAAGTTTTGTTCACTTCCATATGTTCTCCAAAACTTTAGAAATGAGTTATCCTTAAGGGAAAGCACTCTAAATCTGGAGCCTTAGCTGTCAATTCCTTTTGTATTAATATTTCAAATACCAAGTATATCAACAAAGACTTTTCTTTCTACCTGCTGGTAAAAAATAGGTCTTCTTTCCTGCAAAAAAAATAGCTACCCTTCTAAATAGCAGAGAAAGCTCTACATTAGAGAGTGAGGAAGAAGTAGGCAAATATCCCCTTTTTCTGTTTTTAAAGTTCTCCCTTTTTCAGGTCCAGAAAAAAGGGAGAAAAAGGGTGTCCTGGAGATAGCTGGGATTTAAAAGTACTACAGGGTCTCTATGCACTATTCACAGTAACAAAAATGCTCAAGTGTCATTATATACAATGGTGTAGTATGGCAGCCCTTGTATAAAAGGGTAAATCAAGGTTTGCTTTTTGGATTAATTTTTTTCAAGCTGTGGATGGTTGAATCCATGGATAGAGAATCCATGAATATGGAGGCACTGCAATAGGTTTTTTTTCACTTGTGCTGAAAAATCAGAAAACTATATGCGCAATGGTTATTTCATGTTGTTTCTGATTAAATAAGATATATAAGTGACAGTTGTTTGGGAAATGCAATGTACATTTTCTCTTCAATTTCCCACGTGTATGGAAACAAAAATAGCCATTTGGAATACCAATTGAATTTTAATTTGAAAGAAGAAGAAAGGTGCCTTTTGTAAATCCCACAGTTTATTTGTTGCTAAAATAATACTTTTATTTAAAAACCAAGACTTTGGAATTGGTTTGGAGAAAAACACAGTTTTTCTATTATAAAAAGCATGCATTTTCTAAAGGGATTTCTCTTTTGCCAGAAGAAATTGTTTCTCTCTTTACTTCTCTCTTACATTTTTTTTAAAAAAAACAGCATGCATAAAAATCAATATTGGTGCCTTTTTTAGTTCCTCGGTGACTTTTCTGCTCTATGCTTTTTTGTCTGTTGAGGTGAACTGTGTTTCTTTAACTGCCAAAAATGGTAAGGTAAGATTAACAAATATTGATTACTTTGTTCTTCTTCAAAATTTCAAATCTTTCCATCTGTTTGCTTGTGAATATTCTTAGAAATGTAGGTAGTGCCATGATCATCTGTTGTTAAACTGAACTGTTGAAACAAATGGTAAAGCGGTGTTCTTGAAAGGACTGGCTGTGCAATAGCACTATAGGGCAATGCTTCTTTCTTTCTTTCTTTTTTTCTTATTCTTCTGAGCTTGGCAATGTATTTCTGAGAAAAACTGAGTTAGTGGTTGAATAGAGAAGAAAGATTGAGTGCACACTAATCCCATCCATAGCTTAGTAGTTGCAGAATGATGCTTTGGGCACCAGAGCATCTGTCCACCCTTGTTTAGCTATGGATGGCTTCACCTTTACTTCAGATAATGCAGTCATTCACTGCATTCTGATAGCCTTATAAAATTGTAGGGTCATTAGTGATACTCCTTGCTGTTCTTATGCACTGTGGAATTATAGCAAAGATAGAATTCATATGTAACTATTCCAATTAAAGGCATATCCCACAGTAATATTAAGAGAGAGAGGGAGGGAGAACTTAGAATGGGCTGGAGAATTTATGGCCCTCAGAAGATACTGGATTTAATCTCCCATGAATCATTACTGTTGCCTGTGTTCCTTATAAGTTATGGGTGTAGTATATTGCTTTAGATAACATTTTGTGCTTTATTAGGAGTAAAGCATCTACAGTAGAATTGTGCTGTAGTTCAGTGTTGGTTTTTTTGTTTCATTTGGGGAGGAGGAAGTACGTTTTGTGGCCTAAATCAAGTTACTAGTATCACAAGATAGAACTGAAACATCAACCATACAGTATCCTCCCAGGCCAGACATGAAGCTGAGATGAGCCCTGAAATTGAGCCGAAAGGCATACAGACAACAAGCAGTAACCTAGGTCAAAGGATTCTTTCTTCCATACTGCTGCTTTCATTCTGGCTTACTCACAGCACTGGTGAGTGCTGTGAGATAGATGAAAGGTTATTCCAAGCCTCAGTATTTTATTGAACTTCAGAGTTATGTGGACAAAGACAAAATGCACATGAGCAACATCTAATGTTTGTGTAGTAATTCTTATCTAAGGTCTATGTGACCAGCACAGGAGAGTGTTTGTTGTTTATGAGGCTGTTCTCAGGATATGGCAAAACATCAGATGGGGTTAATGGGGTTACCTTGGGCACGTTTTATTGCTAATTACTAATCCGTTTTATTGCAGTTACAGCATTTCTAGCATTATATATATGTCAGAGCTCAGAACAACAACAACAACAACAACAAAAACAACAACAACAATGCAGATTATGGGTGAAATATCATTTATAGAAATATAGAGTTAATCATCCAATTGCAATAGACCAGCTGAATCTCTAATTCTTATTTTAAGGCATATAGAGATTGACACTCTTTTGGTTTTTTGTGGCCTAAAGAGAAGAGTTTCTCACTGAATAAAATACAGTCTCCAAAGGGATCTTGTAGCACCTTAGAAAGTAACTTGGAGAACATAGACTAAAGCCTCTTCCACACAGCTGAATAAAATCACACATTATCTGCTTTGAACTGGGATTTATGGCAGTGTGGACTCGGATAACCCAGTTCAAAGCAGATATTGTGGGTTATTCTGCCTTGATGGATATTCTGGGTTATAAGTCTCCTTCCTCAGATGCAGGGAGTGAAGTGCCCAGGAGCAGACCTTTATAGCCAGACTGTTTGTGTGTCTAAATAGCCATAGAAATTCAAAAATTGTGGAAATAATAATATTAAGTAGTGGTGGTAGTAGTTATTTGCTACCCAACTCTCCTAACAGCTTGAAGGGGGTGCAGCATAATTAAAATACATTGATAAAGCATAAGACTATTGAAAGACATAGAACACAGGTTTAAACACCAGTAAAATGTAAATTTAGACTGGACTGGCTGGACCTGCTGGAAGATATCGGTCTTTAATGCTGTTTTAAATTCTGATTGTGTGATGATAGGTGATAAATTAAGTTTTAATGATGGTCAAAAAAGACACAGCCTAAAGCCAGAATGGTCTTCTCCTTTTTCAGAGTTCACCAACATACTTAAAGAGAGTTATAAGGAGTGAAATAATGCTGACAAAATGCAGAGGGGATATACAAACCTCTAAAGAAAAGCTTTAATAAAAGGACATAGAAGGAAAACCAGAGAGGGAAACACTCAACAACTGTTTTAAAACAGATGGAAAGCATTCTGGTAACATTTTCTATGTCCAGCCTGCTATTTATTGCTTCTGGAGCTTGGAGGACAAATATTTTCTGTTGTAGGAAGAAATAATCAGGTAAAATGTCAAGGACCACTTTTGATGTCTAAGTCCAGAAGCCATCTGGCTTTGTGTAGCTGCTGTCATGAATAGCTGTGTCCTGTTTGGAAAGGTTATTTTTTTGAGTGACAACACATTGAATCCTTTAATGGCTGAGAGATTTTGAGAAGTGAAATCTAAAAAGCCAAACGAAACCAAACAAAAATCCCCTACATTCCTGAAATGTGTATGCACAACAAAACTTTAGGAAATATCACGAAAAATAAGAAAGAAAGAAAGAAAGAAAGAAAGAAAGAAAGAAAGAAAGGGAGGATACATGGTGGTCCTGTTCCATTAACATGAAGAGTCAGCATTTGACAATGTTTCTATGGATCTAAGTCAGAAACAATTTAAAGGTACAGTATACAGAATGGAAGGAAGGAAGGAAGGGATGACAAGGTATGATTTTGTGAAATACAGTTATAGTCTGCCTTCCACTTTTGCTGGGGTTAAGGGCACAGGACCCCATCTAAATGAAAATGCACAAATGAAAAATAGCTATTTTTTTCTATATGAGAGACCACGTCTAGAGGAATATCTAGGTCTTCCACAATTCTATGGTTAATTTCCACTGGAAACTGCCATAGAAATTAATTGGAAGACACGAAGATTCCTAGAGAGGTATTCTCTCTAGAAATCAAATCTGCAAAAGTCAAAACCGCAAACAACTGTACTGTTTTGCCGCTCTGAGTCCCCTTCGGGGAGGAGACAGAGCGGGGTAAAATGCAGTAAATACATATTGTAATTGTATTTTAACCCATTTTGTGGAAGTTCTTTCTTTGTGAATATTTGCGGTGCAGCAAAGATCAGAGCCATAAAATGTTTTCAGAGTTGTTAAAGCCAAATTCCCACCCCTTGATGGACTTCTACCTTGTGCTGGAGAACTGATGTTTCCGACTTTGGTTCCCATTTCATTCTTCTGAAAGGTTGCCAGATAATCTTTCATGGTGTCTGGTTATAAAAAGCCATTCGGGAAATATGTTACATTGTTTGAATGTGTTTTTCAATCTCCCACTATTTTCAGATGCAGAATAATTTGTTCAATTTTAAATTAGATTTCACACACAGTGTAAGGAGACGCTAATACCTCTTGTATTTTTCCACCCTTTTAATTATAATCAGTCTTAAAATGTGTCTTTGACTGTGCCAAGGCACTCCCTCACAGTCACCTCGGTGTCTGGATTATATTAGCTGTAATAACAGGGAAAGACCGATATAACAAAAAATCCCAGATTCCA